GGATCCTAAGCCTGTCAAGGAAGACAAAATTTTTCCATTGACTTAATCATATTTGGAGTCAGCCCCACTGTTCCTTCCAAGTGCTATTATGGGTTTCTTTTTGACTTTCTTTGAAACAGGAGGAAGTGAAAGGCAATAAAAAGGCATGCCTGCTATCATCACAGATAAAAAGCTGTCAGTACTAACCATCTAAGACTAAAAAGGCAGTAACAAAATGGTCTGATACTGTGGGGGAGCTCTAATAGCTGGTTAGATCAATCAGTGTCTCAACTGAGTCTTGACAAGTTTCTGATTTAATGGGCTGAGCCTCTTTCCAGCTGCTAATAGTCTAAAAGATTTTAAGGTTTGACAAGATAGAACTCAGAGTGAATTGCCATTGCTATTCTTCGTGATTGTGGTAAAAGCAGACCATTTCTTTCCCTACAGATAGGGTCATCTTCTCAATCACTTTTAGCCCTTTCCTTGAGTTCTTCAAGAAGGCAAAACCAAAGACAGCAAAGTTATCAGAGGCTGTTCATGGAGGCAGAGAAACTGAAATGAAGCTGCTAAGTGTGAATTAATGCACCAGTGATCAAGCTTAATGTTGTACTTGATTACTTCTTATTAATCTCTTTTTAAGATGAATGTATCTCAGATGTCCACATGTGTCTGTGTGATAATGATGTGCAGCTAAAATGCAGATATTTTACCAATTGAATGAAACTTCATCGTGTACAAACATGCTTCTGAAGGGAAGCAGTACTGAAAATCATGGTACCAGTAGTGAAAGCAGAAGAAAGGGACTGCTGTTTGATAAAGAATTTAAAATATTTCTTTGACAAGCAAAGCCACTGCAGTATTGTCACCTAAAGAATATATTCCTCTTTCCAAGATGAGTTGTAAAACTCCCACTCAGTTTGGCATGAGAAAGAATTGAGCCATGTTTTTTTTATTTTTACAAATATAATCGTTGAGCTATTTTAAATTAGAGGGGTGTCAAGGCTTATATATCCTGGTTGGTGCAAACTGGATAGTTTCACAGGATGCTGATTGCCTAGTGAATAGTGTGTTCCAGCTGCAATGCTAACTGCCTGCTGACATGTTCCTTAATAGAAAAGGAGTGTGATAAATAATTCTTATGCCTGTGTGACTTCAGCCAATTATTATTGTACATTTCAGGAATACGTATCTTTTCTAAATGACCCTTTATTGTGCCAACTTGTGAGGTTGGGTGTAACTGTCTATAGATGCAGTTTTAATACAGTTAAATACTAGTTCTTATCTTCAAGTGACTCACTGTTTTTCTAATGCAAGTTTTTCTTGACTAATAATAGTGGAATTAAAATATTTAAATGAATATATTTGTATTGATTTTAACTTTAAAAGAAAAAAAAACATTTACAAAAATAAAAACCTTTATCAAAATAAAAATTAATGACGACAAAGCTTTTGTCTTTGGAGTTGGGTTGGTAATGAGAATATTCTGCTTTGTGAAAAACCTGTCACTGAAAGGAAATCTTTGTTTCCTTTACTTTCTGAGCTTTCAGATTTCCTAGCTGTTTATGGTACAGTGTTTTCCTGTCGGATTTCAGAATCTCACATATAGAGTGAATGGATAGTTTAGGAAAATCACAGTTGGGTACTGGAATGTTACATCCAAGCTRTCTTTCACAGTCCAGCTGGAATGAGATGTTTGTGGCTGAGATGATGACTGAGAGTGAGTGAGACAGCTCTGCTCCAGTGCTGGTGTGCTTTGCTTTTCTCCTCTCTATAATGTCCATTACAGTTGGCTCTACTGGGGATAATCTCAACAGTGTAGTGAAAAGATAGAGTGGTAGAAATGTTTTTTATTAGGACTTCTGATCAATTCTGGTGCCATACATTAGAGCTGCACTTACATAAAAACATGGGACAGTTTAACTTCTGCTATGTCCATTTTTCTATTCCCTGCATAAATGGAGAAGTTTGGTCTTTAATACTGGGATAGCTTTGAAAGCAGATCAAAGGGCAGTGGGTTGATTTCTTTCCCCCTCCACAAAACAAAGCATTTTAAATACTTCTGATGCTAATTTTTAGCCATTTCCATGACTGTACAAATAAGATGCTGCATATACTACTTTCTCAAAGCTTTTCCCACTTTGATACAGATGTAATAATTTTCTACCTGATTGTGGACACAGGGTAGCAGAAGACTCCCCTGGTTTTGCTGGTTCAGGCTTGAAACCCAAGTGATAGTGGTGCCTAGTGACTGAGTAGAGTACCTGGAAATCTATGCTAGCACAACTGTAATCTTATGAAAAGGAAGATGGGTGTAGACACATACCAGAACTGCTAGCCACAGAGATTCAAAAATCTTAAGCGAGGCTGCAAAAAATAAGAGACAAGAGTAAACCACATTCCTAAAAATCTGGCAAAGAAATTATAGTATTATYATGAGAGTGACACCCTTTTATATTGTCTCAATTTTATTTATAAATTTTCAGGTTGCAAAGTCAGCCCTTCAACTTTCCGTGTATGGTTGCAAAAGAAAAAGTTTTTAGGTTTTGTTGAAAGATTAAGTTAGGCAAATTAGGTAATGTGCATGCTTTACTGTGTTTGAGCATTTTGCAGCAATAGGGAGGGCACAAAATATTCTTTGTTTTGTAGTCGCAGTAAAGAAATTCATAAGTCGTGGTGTTGATTTTTAAATTAAACATGCAATGTTTGATTGCTGAACTATCACCCAAAAACCACAACCAAGTGAAATATTCAGAGTAGCAAATCCAGCAGGCCTGAGCTAACAAGATGAAAACATTTGAACACATCCTTGAATTGTGCTAACAAATATTGATACAGATGGCTTTAATGAAAAATTCATCTAGGAAACCTTAATGTCTCCAATTAAATTTGAAAAGCTTCTGATGTGCTGTTTAAAWTTTAACTCTATGTCACCTTTTTTAAAGATTCTATCTGTAGGTTGGGTTGTGTATTTTCTGACGTGGATCAAGGAGGATAAGTGCATAGTCTCCCATTATCTCTTTACCATCAAGGCTTGAGAAAGGAGTATTTTTGAATATTACATTCCTTATGTGATATTCAGTTCTGGAACTTACTGAGTTGTCTTTGAGTATTCTGTTTTCAGTCACATGAAGAATGGAAATGGCAGGTTCAAAATCCAAAGAGAGGCCTTAAATGTTTTACAAATATTTATGTGAGCATTTGTTAGTATTTAGCTGGGTTGCTAGCCTTTGAATGTACTGTGGCTTTAGTGCCTTTCTGTGAGGCTCATCCTGACCCTGTGGGTCATATTTCTAATTTGGTACTTCCTAGTCATTAGCATGATAGGTACACAGGCTTTCTTCTTGCCTCCTGGATGGGATGACTGTGCTTCTCTCTCTATATCCATGTATTTCACAGGTCTTATTTGCTAAGTTTGTGAATCAAGACTAAAATCTGTAGCATTTAGTGCAGTCTGGAATAAAAACAGTCAGATTGCAAATGTCAGCTATGCAAAGCTCTGTGGTCATGAGTTAAATCAAGTCTGCTGTTCTTTCTTTTTTACTCTTTTTGCTGTTGTGATTATCATTACTTGTGTCCTTAGGAGCTCCAAATGTCATCTTTTACTATCTTGTTCTAAGTTTTGTTCTAGGCAGAACAAAACAACTTCAAAAGCTTGTATACTGACACCAGGAGAGAGGAAAATGCAGGTGAAGTACGGAACAGACATGATTGGAATGATTGCTGTGGTCTCTGGCAGTCAAAGAGCTTTTACTCATCAGTAAAAGAGCTTGTAATTATCAGAGCATAGGTGGGACTTTGAAGACAGCATTTTGCAGATATTTATAGTGAATATGTGGCAAGTGAGAGAATTGGGAATTTCCTGAGAGTTGCCTGAGTGTTGTTCTGCATTCACGGAGACTGTGGTCTGGAAAGGAAGGAAGGGGAAGCACTTATTTCAGTTGTGGGAAGCAGGTTGTTTACAGATTGGTGAGCTAATTCATAAATGGCTCTCTGTGACCCCCTGTCAGACACAGATTTAGGGACTGGCTAAAATAATACCCTTGGGGAATATAACAACATATAGTTAACCTGAGGTTTCACCGCAGCTGTAGGGGTGATTGCAGCCTGGAGTGTGCAGTGGCTGCTGCAGATATCCTCTGTTTATCCTCTATTTCAGAGCTGCTCTGTCCAGGGAGCAAAATGCCACCTACTTCAGGCTATTAGGCATTTTTTCCCCACCACGGACTGGGGGGTGACAACTAATTTTTAGACGTAAAATGTAGCTTTATGTTCTATTAGGTACATATGTCATATGAAGACAAGATTATTAATCTGAACTTCGGGTGTAATTGAAGAAGAAAATGAACATATTCCACTACAATATTGAAACTAARTCAAGAAATGGTGCATCATGAAATTTCACTTAAAATAATATTTTAATATTAAAGGGAGTTTTTGCTATAGTTAAGGTAAACTTGTATTGATAGTAAGAAATGCAATGGCATACTTTTCTATTTACCTTGAACTTGTACAAGGAGAGGGAAGACCACAGATTGTCTAAGTCAGCCTTTACTTGATAGCTCACGATTTTCTCATCATAGACTTGTCTTTAGGCCAAGGAGGTGTAGATGTACTCTGCTGTCTGCTGCACTCAACCTTTTCTGACTTTCATGTTTGCCTCAGACAGCGGCACCTATTATGGACTGGTGTCTTGTGCTGCTGCAGAGGATAACTGGGACTTGTATCCCTGGTGAAGAGATTCTGCTAAAAAACAAAGAGATTTCTATTTTACAGATAATAACCAAATACTGAATTAAAAACCATCACGAGTATCTCTACTACTGGGGCTATTTTTATACCTTCTGATTCTTTACTGCTGATGTAACTGTATTTTGGTTATATTTAATTCCTTACAGCTGCTTTTAAAAAGAGATTATATGCAAGAATGATTGTATGACGGCTTAATGCTTTTTTTTTTCTGAGAGCACAATATTTTAACTTATGTTTTCATGATAAAGAAATTATTTTCTTCTTCTTTTCAGATACCATGACCAACAGGATGTTACTAGCAACTTCCTCGGGGCAATGTGGTTGATTTCAATAACTTTTTTATCCATTGGATATGGGGATATGGTACCAAATACATACTGTGGAAAAGGAGTCTGTTTACTTACTGGAATCATGGTGAGTGAATTTRTTAATTGGATATGAGATTACATTTGCTGCAATTAATCTCAAAACTTTGGTAGTCATAAAGAAATATTTATCTGCTGGCTTGCAAAGTGTATACTTAATTGGACCATTCCCACAGTCTTTCATTCCTGGCAATGAAATGGAGTTTTCTTCTTTTTTAGGTAATAATTTAGTAGCAGTGTAATGAAATACAGAGAAACAAATTCCACCCTGACTTAAGTCATAGCTTCAGAAATCTCAGTAAAGTCTTTCATTAAATGTCAAGGTATCATATCCTTTCGATCATCTTTGGGCATATGTAATTGGACCAATACTAATAATGAACCTTCAGTTCTGACTTTTTTCCTTAAAATTAAGTTATTCATAAAGAGACATACTCTTAGAGTCTTTGGGCATAGTTTTCTACTCTGTTTGTTACAAGTCTAATGACGTGTTATAGCAATCTGTTGCTTTAAGTGGAATTACATTGTGCAATTTGCACAGTAAGAGCCTTGGCTACCATTGATAACTTGCAGCAATTGTTAGGTCATGCATAATCAATATATATTTATTTAGTGTATTTCAGGCCTGGTTTTGACTTTTTTGTACTTCACCATTTAGTCAAAGTTGAGCAGGGAGTAAATCTGGGGGTGTCGTAACACTGGATAAATTTATGCATATCTACAGTAAAAAAAAAAAAAAATGTAAAAAAAGTTCTGGGCTCTGCCTCTCTTATTGAAACCAACTTGTGTGCAAATGTCCCTGTGAGTGAGAAAGGCTGAGTGTGTCATATATGCAGTGTATATAACAATAAGATACATACYTGCTTCTTAGTTTTTGCCACTGGTTATAAGTAATGCATTTCCAATATCTACCTCTCTTAAAACAGCTATATTGGGATTGTGGCTGAAAGCAGATGGTATCAAATCGTTGCCCCTTTTGAGCAGATATGTTGGTAGAGTCTTTGTTTATAGTAAGTGCATATTTTATGTCCACAGAATAAAATAGGCATCTTTTTGTACTGTTTAAGGATTTTTTTACAAAAGATTGAAAAAAATAAAATTAAAAAGTGAAAATGGATAGATTTCAGGTCTTTGACATTTATTGATAAAGGCTTCCAGTAAATTTTGCCAAAGGTGGCAAATGCGTATCTCCTTAAATACAGAGATTGTAGTTGAGTTGGAAGGTCCAGGCTAAAAGCAGAAAATCCATTTTCAAGGCTTTTGGCTGAGCTCAAATATGCCATCTTCTGGGGTATTTGCCTTTCCTCCTCTTTCTGTGTTGGATATTGATGCCAGAGAGAACAAAATGTGGTCCTAAATTCACAAGGAAAAGAGATGGAGAAGCAGTGTTTATTGCCACCTAACAGTGCAGGGATTGCAGAATGACAGAATCCTGATATAAAGTAGCTTCCATTGCTTCCATGAAAAAACTAAAGTATGGAATTACAAATACCATTTTCACACATTGGCTTCTCTTTCTTATATCTAGTAGACTTGTAAAATGTGTGGATGATACCTTCATGTCTCTGATTGGTTTTTTTTAGTGATTATAAGTTCTGCAGCTGYTTTGGGAGAATGAAGACTCCAATCAGAATCTCATGGTAATGAGTTTGGGATAAATGTCTCCAGAGACAGAAAGCATTTAACAAAAAAGCATTCTCAAAAAAATGAGCCAAGTAGCTGCTGCGTGATGATAGCTAAAACAATAGTGAAAGCCTCCCCACTAATTACATTAATGTCATCCTTGAAAAAAATTATGGAGCAAGGCGAAAAAGTCAGATGCTGAAATTACCCTGTTTATTTTTTTTTGGGGGGAGGGGGGGTTGCTTTTTCTTTTATTTTCTTTTGTTTTTATAAAGGATCTGAGCAATGTGAAGTATGACACAGTAAATATAATAACTCTCTTCTAGCTTAACCTGCAATACCAAAAATCTTACAGGTCTTGAATATCATTCTTTCAATCCAATTACTCTTCTGAAAATTGTACAGTAACTAATGTTTCTTGTGGAAAATACAAGATGCTCAAAAAACAGACCTAGAGATTTTTATTTCAGTAGCAACAATTGATTGTCTAATTAAAAGATACACAAGGTTAATTGCCGAAGGGATGTAGTAAAATAAAAGTGTGTATTTTACTTTGAGAAAGTAATTCCCTGACATCTGAAGCAGCAAATACATTGTGAATTGCATTACATGAAAATAYTGACACAGATGGGTCAAGGCAGAGATGCTTTACAGACAAGCAAGTGAAATTGAATGGGATGCTTCAACTCAATTACCAATCAGTTTTTTTCCAATGAGACTTCACAAGTAAAAATAACAGACTATGGGCCAGGTGGAATATGAATTGATAGCAAATGCCCTCTGTATACATTAGGTAGATCTGCAAGAGTGTGGTGGATACAAATACAGTTGCTGTCACTGTTCTTGGAACAGGAGAAGAAATTGGGAGACCTATGGCATCTTCACCATGCCGTGCAGCTTGTCTGGCTACTGTATTTGCACATGTTTTATGCCTACTGGCAATGCCCTGCCTGGTTGGCAGTGCACACCCAAGCAGATCTCTCAGATGTTCAGCAGCACGGTGATCTCAGATGGAGAGATCCTTGTATGGTTTGTAAATGGAACTGTGTGTGTAGGCTGCACTTAAACCTTCTTAATGACTTTTCACAACTAGGACCTTTGAGAAGTTTGCAAAATTTTCCTCACTTTATAAGGCAAACAATGAAGTTAGCAAAAATTTATAGAAGATCAGTAGAAATTGGTAASGAGGAGTGTGAGAAGAGATGGGAAGATGCATAATTATGGACTATGAGATGGACAACTTTTACAGACCTTTGCAAGCTTTTGAAGTTACACAAGATAAAATTGCAATCAATTTTTCTGACTCCAAATACAAGAACCTGTTGCAAGTTTTAAGAAGGTCATTTTTCCTTTTAGATGCAGCATTATGTATTGAGGTGGTGTGTTTTTTGTATGATGTGAAGTTTCTGATGCCRAATCTTCCTGCAAATCCACCCAGCAACAGTTAGAAGCAGACATGTAGGACAAACCTATGTTACTACAAATAAAATKAATTAGTTGCAATTGTCCTGTCCCRGGATACMTGRGTTGGTTTGGTGTAGCTTGATGAAGTTTGATATAAATGAAATAGATGTTATTTCAAAGTGTCTGCTTTGCTAATGTGGAAATTAGAGTTTAATTGCGTCTGTTATGGAAATGAACTTCAAAGAGATTGTTAGGTTGAAAGAACCAAATAAATAAGGAAAGTTTGTTAAAGTTATACAATGGATGTGGACAAGATTAGAGTTTTTCTTGCAAAAATTTTAAGTGGCATCTTGCAGCTATTTGAAGACCACTCATATAGGTGAAATTGTCTTATTAGAGTTCTTGAAATGCAGTCGTTGTGTAGAATCTGGCTTTAGGGACAATAGTTTTTATTAGTTCCAAATTATTAATCTAAAATTAATAAGACCTGGTTTTAAATCTTCTCATGCTGAAGGTTATAATGTCCTTTGGAAGTCTGCATTTAGTTCTAAACAAATCACAGTTTCTTACCTGTGAATCAGGAAAAAAGTGAGGAGGATAAGGTATTTCTGCTATGAGAATAGAGGACTCCTCATCTAAGACTAAATTGTAATGTTTGTACAAATGGTAATTGTAGACTCAGCCTGGTTTTACCAGCAAATACAGAAAACTATCTAAAAAGAGGAATATGGCACTTAGAGAGTAGTTTCTAACCGTATTTTTTTTTGGTAGCAAATTCTGAACTGTATTATCTTTGCCATTTAATAGCTGCTAGATTGAAAGAAAAAGAGGGGGGAAAGAAGTAGATTCTAACTGCATAGTTATCATTGTCTACATGTGTTCTGGGATGAGTCCTGAAAAAGAGAAAAATAAGGTAAACATCAGATTCTAGCAATCAAATACGAAARTTATTTTATAGAACCTTACGGATAGTGAACATAAAGGTCATAAATTRTTGTGCGTAATAATGTCTGAAACACTGTGTGATTTTATGAAAACTTTTKTTCACATTGTATAATTGTGTAGTGCATAGGAGAAACATGGTTTATAAAGCAGAAATTTATTTTGAATTACATTCTAAAAGCTGAAAAGGTATCATCAATTCTAATTAGAGCACAGTGGTGACTAGTTTTGTGGATAAGAGGATATTTCAAAAATCTAGAACACTGATCAGTTTTTACTTTCCTGAGAGTACAGAAACTATGAAAAGCTTTTCAAATGCTATGCAAATTGATAGCATCAGTCATGTCTCAGATGTATGCTAGAGTTTAATTCAGGTTCTGATAATATAGGAATAATGTGACAACAGGATTTGGAACAGATTGTGTGTGTTCCTTCTAGCATAGTACAACCTAAGTAGACAGTGTATTGGACAGAAAATTTTTATGGAGAAAACGGTTACTGWTGCCTGAATTCTTAAGGGTAATGCTATTAAAAACTGGGCCGATGAGAAACTCTATCAGCCCCTATATTATTGTTGTTCCAGCACAACAAATTGCAGAAATGGAAACTTTTGTAGGGAACAAACATGGTTTGTGATTATTTTAGGTCTGTGGTTTGTTGGAATGAAATATTTAACTGAAGTAAAGAAACAAAAACTCTCAAAATTGAGTTGRGAGGCTCCAAAATGACCGAGTTGAGAAGCTCCATGAAGCAGGGRTTGAGAAGGCAGTAATCTGAAATCTGAGAGAATGGGCAGAGGCTCTGCTCCATTTGAGTRAATAACATCTCTTGAAAGGTTTCACTATCTTTCAAAATTAGAAAAATTAGGGGGAAAAAGCTTCTTCAGAAGGTCTTCTGTTTGCACCAGTAGATCAGGTATGTTTTTGAAGTGTCAGAGGACATGGGAACTGTTTTCCCCTTAGGCCTAGTTATGGATGCATTCCAGCAAATTCAGAGGCAATTAGCTCCTGGCAGCAGTTGTGTTCATGCTATCTTTGTTTATGTAGGTATTACTAGAGGATTATGTAGGTATTGCTGGAT